ATCTATCTATCTATCTATCTATCTATCTATCTATCTATCTATCTATCTATCTATCATATATCCATTCATTTACATAAGCATACACAGAAAACAATCAAATGACAAATAATAAAAAGGAAGAGTGATTATGTACTTATTCAGATACAAACATACACATGTACAAATTATATGCCATAGAAACTCTCCCCCAGATGATTGAATCCAAATATTCAGACAGGCATCCACAAGGGCTGTGAATGACTTCAGAATGGCAGATGTGATTAAGTGATCAAAGCCCCACCCCTTTTAACACGTGTCACAAGCATCACACATACATAAAAACATTTGGGGCTCTGATCACCCAGTCACACCCACCATTTGGATGCCTGATGGCCCTTGCAGAACTCCCTGGTTTCAGAGGGGCATTTAGTGGTTAAAATGTTGGTCTCAGACACTGGAACATCACACAACACACACACACACACACACACATACACACACACATACAATTCCAAAACCATGAGAGATAAGACTGAAGAAATTGTAGCGTGAGCAATCTCAGTGTTCAACATATGTGAGTTGAGGAAAATTTGGAAACAAATGAAAGTCTTTGGAAGCGAATTCTTGGAACTGAACATGCCACTTTGATCAAGCCAGCAGAATATGTGAATTGTATAAATTTTAGCAACTGTAATATTTCTACCAGTTTTTAAAATAAGTAGTAAGATTTGCCTTTAAATATAATCATAAATAAACATTAATTAGGTGAATGATTATTAAATCAATAGCTGAACTGATGTGTCATAAAGGGTTTCAGAGACAGAACACTGCTGCATTCTCTGTAGCTGAATCTTCCTCGCTTCAAACCAATGGAGCAATACTGCTCCATTAAACTGAAAAAGGAGAAATAGAAATAACTTTGGGAGCAAAAGTCAAAGTTGGGGTGGTGGAAACTCCATCCACCAGAGAACACTCCTTGCCCCAGAGATCCTATGGAAGTTACAGTCTTTCATTCTCATCTTACCACCACCTGACTGCTAGTATTCTGTTTTCTGTTGCTGTTTTTGCTGTAGAGATGGGAAGTGTGTCTGATCACCTATGACTTCCAGCAACCCTCACTATCAGCTCTGGTGGCTCGAGATTGAGACTGCTTGAGGTTGTAGCTGAGTAGTAGGTGGGAGAAAAAGTGCTTCCCCATAGTTAACAATATGTGTATGACTAAGGAATTGTCCACAAGCAATTACTCAATAGCATTCTTCTTTTTGGATAATGACCCTTTGGCCATTGATCTGTTGCAACTGAAAGCCCTGAATGTATAAAAGGGATAAAAATGGGCAAAGTGGACCCAGGACCCAGATAAGGGGAAGGAATGTGTATACGCAATGCTGGTCAAAAACAAAATGTTTATATACCCTTTTAGCAAGCTTTGGAGATTTGGTGGGGGGTGGCAAAAAGGGTGCAGTTTGGCCTGAGCTCCCCAGTGTTAGGAATAAGATGCAGACAAGTTATAATTTTCTGTGCATGCTGGTGGGTATACTCATGTACTGCTTTATACATATATGAAGCATGCAATCCAGAAGATGATGCTCACATGAAAATTTATTTATTTATTTATGGATGGATGGATGGTCCCTCAATGTGGGACAAAATTGTGCTCTATCACAAGCAATGTCTTCTTACATAGTATATTACCCAGAAGAGCAAAGACTGAAATTCTGAAAACAAGGGAAAAAAGGCAGCTGATGTGACTAAAAGGCTGTATGTTTGCAAGACTAAAAGGATCTGCATCTATTCAGATTTTGAGATCTTCACATAAGGTATTTCTGGGTGGCTCAGCATGCAGATTATAAAATATTTTCTCCAAAGAACTTCGCCTACTGCCTATTCCGATATCTTTGTGCTGCCATATGACTTCCTTTTTTTTAAAAAAAAGGCCTTTAAATTTGAATTTCTAAAACAGCAGATTATGCATTTTCATAACAACAACCACAACAAAATCCCACTTTGTTTTATATTTTACTTATGCAAGATGCATGGGAACCATACTTGAAGAATATACATACTTAAAATAAATGAAATATACCTACTTAACATTCATGAATAAATGCAGACTGCCTGAAGGAAACAAAAACAAATAAACAAAACACAAAAGTGCTACAACTGCATAACAGTGCAAGATTTGCTAACTTGACTCCAGCCATAGCATGTAGAGATTGTGCTTATTGATTGATTTGATTTATATCTTGCCTTTATTTTGTACAACTCCAGGCAATGTATATAATGTTCCCTCCTCCTCTTTTCCCCACAACAACCTGGTGAGTCGGGTTGGGCTGAAGGGGAGTGGCTGGCCCAAAGTCATTCAGCTGGCTTCTGTTCCTAAAGGAGGCACAGAACTCATGGTCTCCAGACTTCTACTCCAGACCTTAATCACTACTCTTCATTGACTCCCCATATAATAACAGCCTACTGAACTCCCCACTGTTCCTACAATTGGGCTTATTTAATGTATCAAGTGTGGCAAATGTTAACTATGGTAGCAGTTAACCTTTCCTTCCCCAAAAATTGCATTCTAACAGGGGTTTTCAGTTGGGAGGCCATACCCTTTTGAATGGAGTTGATGCAAGTTTGCCCATTGCTGGTGAAATAGGGAAATAGTGAAAAATGGAAATGACTTCTTCTGCATGCTGTTAAACTAAGCAGGGACACTACTGTGCTTGCAAGGCATTTCTTCTATTACTTTTTCCATTTTTGGGTTTTATTACAGGAGATACTGAATTCCCATAACAAACTCCAAAAACACCCCATTCTTATTCTTCTTTCTACTGTATCAAATGGGTTCCCTCAGTATGAAAACATTTAAAAAGAAAAAAAGTCATTTAAATCATGTTTATTATAAAGTCTTTCTATTTAGCTGTGCCTGGAATTACCACACTTGCATCAGCCACGGCTTCCTGCAATTTTATACTCATCATGAAGAAAAATAGCCAGCAGTATGCTGGATACTGGGTTTGGCATGGTGAGAAGCTGTGATTATTTCTTGGGCATTTTCCTTTGCATGGCATACATTATTTAATTTTAATTGGAAGCTGCACAATTAGCTTCAATGCCT